TGCTCGTTTACATCAACAACTATATCATTTTATGCAAGGCTTGAGGGACAGGAAGTGCCTATATCTATAGGCTACAATGATGTCAATTCTGTTACTTTTTGCGAAGACCTGCAAGTTATTTTTATGCGTCCAAAAGAGGCATTTAAGCAATCTCTGCTAAAACGACTCAATATCGCTGGTGATAAGAAAGGCTCAGGTATCGTATTCAATTTTGAACGCTTACCTTATATAATTGCATATGGCCTAACTTCTTTTATCATGTGTAGATTTCAAATGGATTATACTCGTGCTTGCAGAACTGCCAAAAAAGGCTACGAACTCTGTGATGCACCTCACAACCTCACAATTTGAACACTTCTGTCTTTCTGTGAAACAAAATGAGGGCTATTGTATGGCTCGACTGCCGGCAATGTCAGCCAAAAACCTCCTCCTTAACTGCAATCTCATGCTAGAAAGGCTCAGATCTGTCCCTTCGTCAACCTCAATCAGGACACCTCCTTTAGACAGTCAACGTGAAACCCTTGACATTAGTACCGCTGTAAATCCCAATAATGTTGCAAGTGGATTGCTTACTAGTGTGATCTCCAGTCTTAACGCGTTAGTTCCTAAATCCCCTAGAGGAAAGAGCAACGAGCGGATAATAGTCTGCCGGAAAGCGACTTGTTCTGCCCCATGGTCTCCAATTCCATATAGTGTTCGTCCAGATCGGGTGAGTGTGCTTAGCTCATACTATTTCGTTATTTGCAATTTATAATCCCGGAGGTTAATCAGCATATCTTTTATTCTGCAGCCAAGTATACCGACAACTAAATATTGCTCTCAACCAAACGTCAGTGATGAAATTATTATATTAACTGAGGATGGAGCAGATACTCAACCCGCGTCGGTTAGTCTCAACTCTCCCTCCACCTACTCTAACTCCGGACTGCTACCATCTCTAAATACAGCCAACATTGTTGCATCAGATGAGACCCTATCTTCTTCTGAACCTACATTGTAAGACTTTTCGTCTCATGATTTTATT